AAGTGGGATGAAAAACAGTGGGTTGTCCAGGCAGTAGAGAACCCCATGTCTAAAAATACCAGTATTAATTATTCTCTAGATTCACACCTTACTGTTCGATATCTTTGTTTCTGTAAAAGCTGAGTAGCTGCCTGATAGGGAGTTAAGTTGTGTCTTACATCTTTGTAAAATTAAGATTGATTTTATACTTTTGACACACTCATTACTCTTCACAGTGTAATGCCTCTTCTGTTTCTCTGCCTGTATGGTTGTAAATAACAGCCCTTGTTTCCGCTCTCAGTCCTCACTTCTGACCAGAAAATGTTGTTCCACTCTCTGGTTAGAAAACAGACCCTTGCTGTGGTCCTGTTATCACCAATATTAAAGCAGTTTGTTAACCTGCACAGTGACACAGGTTTGTGCTCCATCATAAAAAAAAAAACCTAATCACATTTCTGCACCATTATCTGGATCACAAATATGTGTTCTGTTCTGGCTGCACATGAACTGAGGGATATCTAACTTGAATTAATGAATTAATGTCTATTAAATCAGTACTTTGTACAGGTTTTTAGATCTAGCAATATCTAATCCTGGCTGTAAAGCCTCCATTATGAAACATGGCGACTCAAATTTCTCCAGTAGCTCGATCTAAACTGTAGCCAAACTTCTGTCTGATCCCTATAAAGATACTTGGGAGAAGATTCAAATGGAAAACCTCTGTTTAATTATCTGCTTTTTCCTTCCTCCATCCAGGAGGCTCAGATGGTGCAGGAACTGATACCCACTGGCTAGAAATGTCTTTCCAGGTCAGTGCTGTGCCAGCTGCCCTCCCCGCCGCGCCGGTGTCGCGCTGGCTGCYGGCCCTGCCCAACTCCTGCTCGCTGGCCCCGAGCTGCCAAGATGAAAAATATTGATTCCAGTCCATCTCATTCAAGTATTATCATGAGGTGTTCGCAGACATGCTGGGACTGGTCTTTTACTTACAGGAACATTTATCCAGGGGGATCTGGTGCGTTATGTAGCAAGAAACTGCAAGAGGCAGAATGAATTTACTGTTTTCACTTGCAGTCAGTAGCCTGAGACCTTACTGTGGCTTTAGCTATTCTTGATTAATTTCATATGTGGATGCTCCTATTCCAGAATAGAAGTGCCTTGTTACGAAAGAATTTAATTCCTTTAATTTCATTTGGGAATAAATATATCCACACACCTGGTATTTAAATCTGAGAGAACTATTTCTTTATAAATTTACACCCTGTGCTGTTTTGGATCAGATCTCGYGTGTAGCTAAATCCTTCTATTTATTTAACAAGATCTGATTTATTGCTCAAAATTCTTTCTTTTGGGAAGTACCTGGTTGGAAAATRAAATTCTGCTTGCAATGACAAGATTGGGTGGAGAGGGGGCAAATGAAAAATTCTGAAAACAACTGGTTTGGAAGCACCACATTGGAAAACATTGTTACATGTCAGGTYTTATTCTGCTGTTTTATTCTGAAACATCTGGCTTTTGACACTTTAAAAAAGTCTATTTTGATGTTTTTCAAATTGAGAAATACAGCTTTGAAACATGGCTTGGAATATTTACGTTTCCTGCCATGAAAATGTCTTTTATGTCTCCATCATCCTATTTTCTGATGCAAACACAGCTGGCAGGAATGGTTTGGACTGACTTTGCTCTGCCTGGGTGTCAAGGTAAGAAGCTGCCCACAGAATTCACTGTCAGTCCCAGCCCTCCATGCTGGATGTGGTTTGAGTTCCATGGGCACAGCCCAAGGTCTCAGCAGCCCCAGTTCTCCATGTCCCGTGCCAGGCCGGTGTGGGAGGAACTGGTGAGGAATGTTCTCCTCTCTGGCAGTGTSCTCGGGCCTGCTGAGTGGCACAGTGGTGATGGAGGTGTGTTCCCCTTGTCTGTGCCCCAGGGTGACTTTGCTGCTCTGGTGTAGGGCTTTACTTTAAAGCTTTCTGCGTTTTAGCTGCTTGGATCTGGCTCAGCTTCCAGAGGGGTCCTGCTGTTATGGGAAGGATGTGCATGTCTGTGGTGCAGCATGTGCACTCTGGATGCATAAGCACAGGGGAGAGCTTTCCTGAAGATTTATTACTAAGCTCTTTAAGATTTAATGCTTTCTCGAAGTTCAAACCGGTGTAAGGGAAGGCTTAAGCAGCTTAATGGGTTAAAATGATCCCTGGCTGTGTCCTTCAGACAGTTTAAAGACCCTGCAGCAACCCAAGCGGGCCACCTGTTCCTCTCCCAGACAAACAGGTTCCCCCCCTTGACCTTTATTCTGCCACCCTTCGGTTTTGCCTGGCCTGGCTCCATGTGTGGAGTGATTGTTCTGAAGTTTGTCATTGTTTAAAATGCCACTTGCCAGAGTTTAATGTGCACAGCTGCAACCTGAGCCGTCGCCGTGTGTTAATAAGGCTAAAACCATTGGACTGCCACCAAAAGATCTGCTTGCACTTGGCATGTCATAAATTAATATCATTCTTACCTGCCAGGGATGATTCACTGCTGGCTCAAAGCGTATTTAAACTTTGGAGGATGCCAACAAACTGGGCGGTGGTTTGACCTGCCACGTGGCCTGGGACTGCTGCTTTCCCTGCCTCCGCCTTGCCGCTGTTGCAGTGTGTCGGGAAACAGAAGCTCTTTATGGCCTTATGAGAGCTTGTGTTTGTGTGCTGCCCTGGCCCTCCTGCCCCCATCTGCCAAAGGGCTGGCCTGTTTGTGGGAACATCTCGCTGCCTTTCAAATTCCTGGCTGGGCTGTTGCTGCCGGCTTTGGGAGAGGGCCTGGGGGTTAATGCTTGGCTGGACTGTGTCCTGTTGTTGCAGCAGCTTCAGAAGGCTCTCATCCCACTGACCCTGCCTATCCTAGGCAGGCAGGTTATGCCAGCATCCCAGAAACTGGAGATAAATTCCATGTTAGAGGAGCACACTTGACCAACTAACAGCTCAGAGCAGGTGGGTTCAGCTGGTGCCCAGGGTAGGGAGCCTTGGAGGCACAAAGGGGTGGCCCACATGGGAACGGGGCAGATCGGGTTGCAGGGTTATATGCCAGAGGTTGAACGTGCTCCCCGGAGCCCAGACTCTGGGGCTCCAGTGTCACAGGGAGGTGCTGCTGTGTCCCCATGGATGAGCTGAGAGCCAGCAGTGCTGCTCGCTTTGTCCCTGTGCTCCCTGGCTGCATCCAGGGACCTGCAACGGGGGACACTGCAGTGCTGCCCTGGGCTGTTGCAGGGCAGGGAAAGGAGGAGATGGGAAGGGATGGGAGGCACTTAAAGACATTTTGTCCTTTCTCGTTCAAGTCCGTGGATGGGGAGAAGGTGGGTGTCTCTGGTGGCCTGGGGAGCTGTTCATGTATTTCATAAAATGATTTGAGATTTGCCTCCTCACACTTTTCCCTCAGGGCTAATGTGTTCCTCATAACATACTGAGAAGGCATAATATGCTCCTTCAGCTAAAACTGCTCCTTTGTTTTCCATGGTGTCCCCATTGCCTATTTATCTTGGCTCATCCGAATAATTTGTTAAATACCAGGTTTGCACAAGCAGTCTGTGTGGACTTGGGACCCCTGAAACCTTGCTACAGATATTAGGACGGATAGAAACAGCCCCTGTATCTGCCTGAGATGTGTTTCAATCCCGAGTGTTGCAGGGAACAGGGTGTAACCATGATCTGGTTRGGGTAATTATGGTCAGCAATGCCAGGAGCAGCCTGCAGCCCGCCTCATGTTCCCCACCACAACTGCACACAGTCTGGCAGCCTAACCCTGCTGGAAATATTGCATTATCCTCACCACTGAATYCACTGGCTTTTGTTTTCCTTTCCAGCAGGGAAAAAATAAATTACAAATGGTSTACTATGTATAGGTAAATAATGAGGAATCCTGGAAAGGGATCATGCTCTCCAGCAGGACAGASAGGAGACCCAGTTTACCTAATGACACGGTTGTGGTCACCTCCTGAAGCACGTTCAGAGCCGGAGCAGAGGTTAGACAGTGTCTAGGACAAGGATTGCAGCTCTCCTCTGCTCAGCTTGCAGACACGTGGTGACTGAGCTGCATAAAGGCTGATGCTGTGTATATTTTATTTTGTGGGTACTGCGGGCTGTTGGTTTTATTATTTTCTCTTTATGCAAGGCTGACAGGGAGCGTAGAGCTGGTTGCTGGGCAGTGGGGATTGCAGTTGGTAATAAAGGTCTGTTTTCTCACTTCCTCTATTTTTGTCTCTGGGCAGGATGAGGCACATCAGGGGAAAATCTGACTTGAAACAGAAGCTCAATTTTTAAGTTGGAGTTAGACAGTCCTGCTGAGAGAGGTTTGCTCACAGCACAGCTGTCCGTCACCTCGGGGCACAGCGCTGAGGCTGCTCGAGCACCGCAGCCCCGGGGCTGCCACGTCTCTCCTGGACACATCTGGAGGGGACACTCTTACTCCAAACCCCTCATTAGTTTGCCAAGTGACATTTTGATGCCTGGGGCAGGATGTCTGCTTGGGCTTGGTTGTCCCCCAGGTCTTGTGAACATACTGAACAAGTGACATATATCCTGTAAGGAGGGAACAGTCTTTACCAGGCATAGAGTCAGGATTCCTGGGTCTTACACCTTTTCTTCCTCTTTTGGCTCCTGTGGAAATTCTGTGTATCCTGTGAGTACAGAGATGTCTCTGTGTGTGAGACCCTGCTGGTGGTCTGTTATTTGCAGGAGGATTTTTTGCTTGCTTGCAAGGAGAATTTTGGCAATCACCAAGTGCAAACTTTTTTCTGGAAGAACTCTGGTTTCAGTACAAATCTCTGACTCTCTCCAGGTGAGCCTGTTTTCAGCAAGGTCACCGGATATCCTCACATCTGCTCAGATGAGGAGATGAATGAATCCAGCTGAGCTGCATTTTGTGTGTGCCCTCTCTAAAATGAACTGCAGAGCTGATAAATTCTTCACCCCTTGCCCCTGCCAGCTCTGTGAATTGCAGCTTCCTCCAAGCTCAAGTGAAAAGTGCTGGAGTGCCACAGCACCACTGCTGAGGGACATGTACCAGAGCCACTGTCCAGCCTGGCAGGGGGATGCCAGTCCCTCTGCTCCAGGGACAATGCTGGGTTGTGRTTTTTTCTTGTAACTTCTGTTGGAAGCAATGAAAATCAGTGCTCAGCACTGCTGGAGGCAGAGGGAAGGATTTGTCCCCCTCGGGATTGCTGGTCAGTAGATGTTGCAGCAAGAGCCTGCAGCTGATATTAGTGAATTTTGGGTTTTGCTGCACAAAGAAGATCAGAATGTGGCCTGGGGTGAGGGTGTTTGTGCTTTGGCAGTGGGTGTGAAAGGAGAAGCTCCAGAGGGTTGGGCGGCAACACGCCGGTTCTGTTCTCTTCCGTAGATGGCCTTCCGGAGACACGCTGGGTGAGTGGAAAATGTAATGAAATTCCCAGAGCCTCCTGGTGCACTACCAAGGTATTCCTGCCAGCTTTCCAGCCCGAGATGTTGGTGCAGCTGGAGGGGCCTGGGCCACAGATAGAGGTGACTGTAGATTAACCCCCATCAGAGCAGGATTACTGAGGGAGAGGTTTGCTTCACCAGGGAAATAACCCACTGCAGAGCCAAGCTTACCTTTGGCATAAAATGAGCTGAACCAAGGGCTCGCAGTAAATCAAGCTCTTTTCAAACTGCCTTTATATTTTTTAAAGCTCACTTGTTTATTCTGGTTCACAAACTGAGAGTACAAGCAACAGTAAAAATGTGATGCATCCCAAATTCTCGCTGCGAGGATGGGTTTCGTGACCACTGCAGTCTGTACAAGKTCTTTAGATCCAAACCATCTGTGGGGCTGAGAGTATGCAAACTATTCATGTTGTCTTCAAGATTTACCAGCGAGCAGGGCCCCAGAGTGCCAGAATCTGTAGGAAAACAGAGACCTGCCTCACTGATGGTGCTGGGGGTCTTGTTTGAAGCTTCTCTTGAATAGATTGATCATTGTCCTGCAGCATTTAGTGGTGGRAAAGGAAGCAGGGAGGGGGTTTAACAAGTGTCTCATATGGTTTGTRTTGTCTCTGCTATGCTGAACCTTTCTTTCTGCTCACACAGCGGGGTTTTGCTTTGCCTCTGTTTCCTTTGTGCAGATGGCAGCAATAGGTTTCGTTTCCCCCCCAGCCGTCAAATTAACAGCCTTGGCGAGCTTTCCTTTGCTGGCTAGTTTTGGGTGGTGCTGGAGAATTGCTCCACTCAGTACATTTCCAAGTCTGGCTTTTTAAGCCAAGCTCTATAAAAATAAACTTTTTTTTGTTGTTTATTTGTTTGAGAGAAGGGACCTTGGGAAAGCAGATATGAAATTTGCTCTGACTGTATTTTGTCCGCTGAAGGAGTTGGCTTTGAGTTGCATTAGAATAGCAGATTGGCTTCTTGCACAAATCTCCCACAAGCAACGGGCTGAATTGGGAAAAGCTGGTGGGCAGAGGTACTGGAAACAATCTTCTGAGTTACAGCATCTGCAGGAGGGACTAATGAAAACTCTGGCCTCGTATCTCCAAACTCCACAGCGAGGCTTTTCAATCCACCCAGTTGCACTGGTCAGCTTCAGAATACCACGATATCCTGAGCTTGCAATTAACTTGCAATGTGATTTTGCTCTCTTTTCCCCAGTCACAGTAACCCAAATCAATCTCAAGGAGAAGTTGCAGACTGGCAGCCCCTCACCATGCTCCAGTGGCACTACTGCCAACATTTATCTTACAGAGAAATTAGTGATCTGCATTGCTCCATCAATACCAATGCTGATATGAGTGGATCTGAACCAGAATCAGGTGAAGAACTGACTTTTTTGTTTCACAAATGTAACAACCCTACCCCGAGGAAGACATGAGCAGAAGGTTTCCTAAACTTTTGCAGAAAGCTTGTGGGAGGGACATAAACTCAAACTGAGCCAAGTGCTCCTGAGCCCTTGTGCCTTTACTACATATAAATAAATCGTGTGTATATTTATAGGAGATATAGTTTATATGCTAAGGGAACTTAGCACAAATCTGAAGTTCTTTCATTGCCTGCCTGTGTGCCTTTCTAACTCTGCAGGCTCTTCTCTTGGCATCTCTGTAGTACAGCAGCATGTGTGGGCACATCTAGGTTGGAAGCTTTGTGCATACTTGGTGCATCTTCACCTTCTGGGTTTTACTTTGTGGCAGAGACCCGTGCTGTGCCAGAGACTGCAGGACCCAGGCTTTTGGCTATCTCCTCTATCTTGAGGATGTAGCTTGAAATATTCACTCATTAGGTGTTTCATTTAAACTTGGTCCTACTTGAAAAAGACCCTGTGTATCCAACACACTGCCCTGCCAGCAACAACAAAAGCTCCAGAGCCCCTGCTCAGCCTYCCATTTGTTTCTCACATGTGTTCCAGGACTGCTCTCCTCAAACCTCCTCACTGGTTGTTTTCCTCTGTTGCTAGAGCCGTATGTCTCCAAAGGAAGGACCAGCTCTGCCATTTGAASAATCCTCCTCCATCTGCTGCTCGTGCTCCTGGCAGCGCGGTGATGCCAGGCCTGCAGACACTGCCTCAGTCCCTCTGTCCCTCCTGTGTTCCYAGTGAGCCAGCCTGGCTGAGGTATGACCAACTTGCATTTTACTGCTGGGCTTCAGTGGTTTAAGTGTGTCAGGAATAAAACCACTGCCATCAGCAACGAGGATAAAACCTCACTGGGTATTCGGACCTGCTGTTCCTGGGAAAACAGCAGACTGCTGCTGCTGGGAGTTCTCAAAAGTGGTCTTTACAAGCCTGCACTCATCATGAGGAATAAAATCATGGACAAAATCTAGTCAGATCTACTCCACAGTTCCAGTTCTCCATAGGCTGAACCTATGCTCTAGGTTTAAYTCCTATTTCCTGCTCAGTTGGACTTTTATTTCAGTGGAAACTACAGTCTGCACAGCAGGCCTCAGATTTCAGGGAGTTATGAAAAAAAGGACTCAGAGATGCATCAGAAATTTTCTCTCCTTATCAATGTGCAATATTAAGGGTAAAACGAGGCACCTCTCAGAGCATTGGAGAGGCCAGAAGGTCTCCTTTGCTCTGTGTTGGGGTTTATGGACATAGATGTGCCCTGCACTGCCTGGAACACAAGTTATTTGTTTTAATTTACAAATTAAAAATAAAACCATGTTTATTTGCTTCAGTTGAGGGGTCTTTTGCTCACATCTGCTTAAAAAGTAAGCTCTGACTTCCAAGTAAAATAAAGTTTAATGTTACAACGTGCACTGGGAAGGGCAGAACTGGAAATTGCTCTGCCAACAGCAAGACACTGKAGGTACAATATTTAGAAACCCATGTGAAGTACAGAACTCAGCTGTGGCTTGTGACAGCTGCGGGACTGAGGTGCAGGAAGGTGTTGCAGAATGTYAGGCACCTGCAGTGAGAAGCCCCGTGGCTGTGAAGGTGAGGGAGCCGTGTCCTCAGGGAGACTCTTGGGAGCAGCTCTGCCTTGACAAATGCCAGCTGCCAGCCCATTCTGGCATTTCTGTGATGGAAAACTGGGCAGGAGGTGGCTACAATCCCTGSTTTCCTTTTAGTCCTCTCTTGTCAAGCTTTGTGCTCTGGTGAGCACTGGAAAACACGCTTGTTATGTTGGGCAGTGGTTTGCTCCTAAAAATTGATGAGGAGAAAGCTCATCTCGCTGGGCTAGCTTTGTCCTGTGGCTCTGTAGACGTGTCCAGCGCCCATGGGGTCTGTGTGGGCTGGAGCTGGGCACTGCTTTCTGCCTCCTGACACCCCCAGGGCTGTAAGCAGGACACTTGTCAGGCAGGGATTTGGGTTTTCATCTCTCTTCAAGGCCACTGAAGTGGTTTGTGGGGCAGCGATGGCTGGTGTGGTCTCAGCTGTGTTTCATCTGACTCATCTGGTGCAGTGGAATAAATGAGCWGGGTCTAAATGTTGCTTTACTGTGGCTGAATCTGAAAGCCCAACTATCAGTACAACAGTGTAGGGCTAAGTACCGAATTTATTTACAGACTTCCCCTGCCTTTAGGGGATAAGTGCAGGAAAAAAGAGGGGTGAAGACAGAGGAGGCTGAGGGAGGCTGCTCTGTTTGACAGCTGCACATAAAAGTCCAAGTCAGATCTTTTGACACATAGCAGAAAGACTCTTYCCTCTGTTAATGACAAGGAAACATGGAGAAGGCTGGCCAAGGTAGCCCAGATCAGATGGAGACAGAGTCCTGCTGATCTCTGGGGGGCTCAGGCTGCTTGTGCTGCCCGCAGTGGGTGAGGAAGGTTTCCTGCAGAGCAGGTGCTGCCATCCCCTCTCCTGTAGCACAACAAATTGCTTTGTGYTGTGCAGCCTTTTGTTGCCGGCCCTCCTCAGCTCAGCTCGGGATTGCTTTGTGCCCATAATTTAACGAGGCAGTTTACAATGGCTCTGACACCATTTGGGTAGATGAAGTTGGCTCAGAAAGCATCCACCCACTTGCTAAACAATGCCTCAGGCTCCGAACGCATTAAACTTGCTCTGCTCTGCTGCCTACATGCAGCTTTCCAGGTGGAGTTTGTTTTTGATGTTATCCATCCCCCTTGATGGCTCGGGAGCTGGCCAACTCTCACTCTGCCTCCCATCTCTCCTGTCCATAATTTGTTGTCTAATTTTTGGGAGCCTGTTGTTTGCAAAGTCTTGCACAAGCAGGGAATGGTCTTTGCTTCAGGAAATGTCTCTGCCCATTCAGCTGGGCGGTGAGTGCAAGACCAAGATCAAGGCTTTAATAAAGAAACAAAGGTACATACACTTTATGTCTCTTTATTGGAAAACTCTGACTCCGGTTATCTGGACTTATCTCTCAAGGGTGCTAAGATACCCTGGGTTAATATAAATTCTATCCCYGTTTTTTTGTTGGTTTTTTTTTTTTTTTTTTAATAAGAATTGGTGATTTGTTGCTGGATTTGACTTACTGGAATTACAGAGACATGAAATGGTTGAGAAACCTTGGTTTAAGTTCATTTTGATGCAACGGAGACTCCAGTTCTGAGTTGAGCTTTAAAAAAACCCAGCAATCATCCCACCAACAACTACTTTCTTTTTTTAACCAGAAGCATATAATCATCCTTGGAACTTTCCTTAAGCACCAGAAGGGTGAAGAGGTGGATGTTGTGAGCTAGAACACTTTCGGTGGCAAAGATCCTGCTTTTTTGGACTTTGCTAATGCAGATCAACGTGTGTATATGTTGAAACTCACAGTGAGTAAAGAACAAACAGCTGTCTGCCATCCTGACAGAGTTGGCTGGGAAATGGCCCAAACACAGAGAAATCTTAAAAAAAAAAAAAAAAAAAAAAAAAAAAAAAAAAAAAAAAAAAAAAAAAAAAAAAAAAAAAAAAAAAAAAAAAAAAAGGAAAAAAAGGGAGAGAGGAAAGTGTCTGTCTTCAAGTATGTTTGAAATAATGAAAAGAACCGATGTGCAAAGCGATTAAGAGGTCTTTGAGGATCAAAAGCCTTGATTCAGTTTTGCCAATGGAACAAAACTTTTCATCTGTTCTTATGTGGACCTTAAAGTAGGGCAGAAGGGTGTAGTTTTTAAATTATTTCATTTCAGGATTTACTTTGGGCAGGGGGAAAGGGTTCTTTCTGTTTGTTCTTGCTCTTGTTATTCAGTGTCCTTAACACAAAAGGCCAGCCTGGCTCTGAAATGAAGAGCAGGGTCGTTCTATGAACTGGTGGTTCATTAGTCTCCTTTTGATATGTCAGAACAGTAAGGGACCCTTTTATTTTTTTTCTCCCTTTCTAGTAATGTCTGTGTTCTTGAATCAAGACATCTTCCCTCATCATGCCGCAGTGGCTGAATCTTTTTCAGAGATTTCCTAAGTGGGTTGTACCAATAACGTTCATCTTGTGCTCACAGAGCAGGGAGTCAAGAGTTTGATGCACGAGGAAGCCAAACCCAAAGATTTTCAATGCTCTTTGCAGTAAATCCTACTCCCAGCTTTGTGTTCAATGGCAGCTGGATGCCCCCCACCAGGTTATCTCTGTGCCTCTTTTCCCTGGTAGCCTCTTGCCAGCAGGACCACAGAGCARTCCTGGGGAAGGTGGATCAGGGAGGCTCAGAAGTGCAAATCCCTGGATTCCTGCACCGCCAGCCCAGGAGCAAAGTGCCCTTTCTTGGGGAAGGGGTGGTGGAAATAGCAGCAAAAGAAGATGAAGGGATCTGGGGCTGTGAGAGCAAAGACAAAGATTGGGAAGGAGAGGACAAAACTCAGGAATGTCCTTGGATTTGGGTCTCTGCTGGGGACAGTGGAAGAGCTCCCTCTTCCTGTCCCARCCTGTTCTAACCATTGTGGAAAAAGCCTTCCTTGCAGGCTGGAGTGTCTCTGTAATGGTCATGGCATCCATGAGGCAGGGTATYTCTTCCAGCATGGATTTTTAACCTAGAGGATCCCCAGGACAGCGTGGATTTGCTGTGTAGGGTCACCAGAGCAGCTCTGTGGCTACCAAGGGTGGGTTTCAGAGCCGAGGTGCAGGCTGGGTGGATTTGATGCCAGGAGTCACCTCAGTGGTGGAAGCTGTGTGTTGGCCCTGTCTGTTTGCAGAAGAGCTGGTGAGAGCAGAGGTTTCTATGTTCCTGCTGCCTCTGCAAATAATTCAGGAGCAGCATCTGGTGCCACAGGTGCTTCCTGTGACCTGGAGCTGATGTACTTSTGCTGTGTGGTTTCCTGCCCTGTCCTGGCTCAGCTCTGGTGGTAGGTGTGCTCTAACCTCCTCCGTGGGGCAGCTGTGATGGAAGCCTTCTCTCTGCTCCAAAACCTCCTTAATACAAGTCATAGTTTGTCACCACATGTGCAGCAGGGATGGCAACTCCCATTTCTGCTGTTGTGGGAGCCACATCCGTGTGCTGCACAGACCCTGTCACGCTCTGCTGATGGACCAGTAGCATTGGTAGAAACCTGAAAACAGCAGCAGCAAAAGCTGGAAACTGCATATGGCAGAGCAATATCGTGGGTTGCAGGCTGGAAAAGTTCTASGGGTAAAAATTTCTGGCAAGGTGTGGACTGCAGAATGAATTAATCTGCTCTCTTCTTTGAGCTGCTTCTAGATTAGCTCTTTSTGCCTGATCCAGCACTCCTGTGGCCATATCCATGGCAGGAATGAAATGTCACCATTGATACAAGCCTGGTGTAAAAGTCTGTAATTACAAGCCATTTTGTGAGCAATATGATGGGTGAAAAAAATGACCTCCTATGGGCTGGTGCTCTCCACCCTCTTGGCCTTGAAAGCAGGCATAGATTAATTTACTGCATACATTAATCTGCTGCATACATTAATTTACTGCATAATTTTTATGCCGCTCTAACACCATCATAAGCGTGTGTCATTTCAGCATATTATCAATTCTAATACAGCTGTGAGCAGCAAAATAGAGTGAAGAGAGTCTTCGTGCCTGCCTTTGGGGTGGAGGGTGGAGACTGGATTGTCCATGTGTTCTGTTTTGACAGTAGCTTCTCTCTTGGTGTTCATGTAAATAGTTATTTTTAGGAAGATCATATATTCCCCAGTAATTGTTTTAAATGCATCAAAGAGCTCACTGATATAAAGCCTGTGATTTATGGGTTCCCGCTACTTTTTAATAGCT